TTTGACAGCCCTAATATATATATATATATATATATACAATATATATACAAACCAAAAAGTTTGGGTACCCCTGTTTTTTTTGTTTTTTTTAAATAAGAATTTGATTGCTCGTAAATCCACTCTTTTGAATGAATCCGCAGACGTCTATTATGCAGTATGAAGAACGTTCAGTTCTCTCTTCCTCTTAGACTTATGAGGATCAGCACAGCAGCGAAGAGGAAGGAGACGAGGAAGAGGAAGAGAGCGAGGATGGAGAGGAGGAAGACGACATCACCAGTGCGGAGTCAGACAGCAGTGAGGATGAGGGCGGCGAACAGGAAGACCAGCAGGGTTCGACTAGACAGCAGCAGCTGGAGTGGGACGACTCCACCTACTGATCCTCCTGAGCACACAGTACACACTACTCACCAACACACACACACAATGACAAATCCACTCACGCACAGTCACATCCCTCTGCCAATAGGGACGCCCATGTTCCCCCTACCTAAGGAGCCATGCGTAAAAACGCGGAAAACACTGAAAACTAAACGATTATACAATATATGTACAATATAGATGCGAATATATCCGGTGTCTGGCGTGACAGGTGTTGCAGTCCGCTTCATTTCCACCTGCCGAGGCTTCCCTATCGACATCTTATCGTGGTGGTATTCAGTGTAGTATAGTATCACAGCTATCTCAATACAAGTTCCTAATTTATTGAATCTTTTTCTGTCCTATCCGAGGGAATCCTGGCCTCCGTTTGCATTTTCTTTCAGCTCTGTACGGACACATCCCTGCACTTTTACTTTCAAGTTGAGCTTCGAGAATGATTTAATGTATATTCCTTGCACATGACGTTTTAGGTTGATTTGCTACAGGAATTTTGAGGAAAACGCTTTCCGATCACTTTATATTGCATGGCAAGATTTGCAGTCTTGGGTATGGAAGAAAACAACAGCTTTTTGATATTTTGTAAATAAGACAAAACCATGTAATTAGTCAGTGTGTTAGTGAAAGCCTAACCAACGGTTTCCGGTATCTAAAAAGACACAGCACCTGCTGTAGAATATTTACGTCAGATGCTCTTAGCATGTTTCAGAAACTTTCAGTAAATCTCATGCTCGTACTAAAAGACGTCCGCTTCACAGAGAGAAAACCATGACAGAGGCTGAGGTTTCTGTGGCAAAGTGTCGTTCATTTTGTCTTTTCTCTTGGAGGTGGGTGTGCATCTTTTTGTTTCGTTCCGTTCTGTTTCGTAGTTTTCGTAGTGCAGTGCTTTGGCTTTACATATGCTAATTCTAGCTGGGCTTGCAATGGCACAAATGCTACACCAAGGCTTCAATGTTTTTAAATTCAGTGACGTTTTGGGGACTAATAATCACATTCAGATGATGAATATACAGTTGTTGTTTTTTTTCGCGTGGTACTGTTGTACAGTTTAGGCACACCGCAGTTATTTAAGCCATTCTTAAGTGATAGTGCTTGTATTTTCTGTAATAAATAGAGACCAATTGGAATCACAGTACTCAGCACTCTCATAACCCAGTCTGAATAACATTTATGACTGAAACGACATGGAAAACGGGTGCGCTGTTGATTTATCCACAATGTGAGCATTGAAAGGTCTGTTGTGTACTGTTTTGACAGACCTCTTGCTAAAGTACTGGCTTGAGATGGTCAGTTATATGAACTTTACTGAACAAAATTATGGGGGGGGGGTATTTTTATTTCATATATATACCTAATTTTGTATTTTTAAAGTTTTCTTTTTTTCTTTTCAAATTCAGGGTTAACCTGTGTTATTCTTGTCATTTCAAGGCCCCTTAAAAGCATTACAAGGGCTAATTTGCCTGTCACAGCGCATTAAAAGAAACGAATTTCAACTTTTAAAGCATAAAATATTTTTGCAGTATGGCCGTTGGATTTTTTTGTACATGGAACTGTACTGTAGAGTTGTGTAAAGATATTTGTTTACATTTGGTAAACTTTTATTCCTTTTTGGTGACGCTATCAATCTACTCAGATTTGCAGGTAATTTCTCTTCGTAGTTGCTCTCAGAATCATGTCATTGTTTCATTTTCTTACTGTGATTGGACATTTCAGGATGCACCCCCTCCGAAAACGGTTAACTATTGGGGAATACAATAATATTCCGTTCCCGTCGGGCTCGAAAAAGAATGTTAATTATTTAGGAGATTGTAGATTGTTTGATTGTTTAGTAAAGACGGACGTGAAGCTTTAGGGTACTTCATTCAGATGTTTTTGTTTACTTGCATGAATGTTCTCCATTTAAGGCCTAAGCTGGTGGTGGTATGAATATAATTTTATGTCAGAAAAGGTACAATGTGGGAAGTTGTCGAGAAGGTCTATTTTTGTGACCCATGAAAGAGCGACGGGAGACTTTTCTTGTAGGTTTTCGTTTTTGTTACATGTTTTGGTCATCAGGTTCCCCCTCAAAATTGACAGGACTTTTAAAAAGAGGTCCAGAATTCAGCTGGTGGAGTTGGGAGTGCCTTTTGCCTATCACAGCGCATTAATAATAACACAACTAACCAAACACTCATCCATGCCATTTTAGTTGTTGCAATTTTCTCATTTTATAATGATTTAATATTAGATTTCTTACAGGTATTGAATTTTCTGTTCGGGATCAACAGCTAGTTTTATCAAGAGTGGACGTTTTAATTGTCCTGCATACAGTAGACGTCTTGTGTTCATGTTGATGTGTAGAGAAAATAATAGGTCCATACTGTATCATCAATGAATATTGTACTAAATCATGTTTGAGGAAATCCACTTCGAAAAGATGTACATTATTATAGGCAGCATACGTGGGTATGAGTTTAACAATGTGTGTACAGTGAAAGGTGTATCTCCTGATAACGCTGTAGAGGGCAGTATGAAATTCACAAGAAGCAAATACATGATTTCTCACACAAATGTAATAGTCTCTCACAGTGTATTCTCAAACCGTTTGATCGATGTAAACCATTCCATGAGACCAAATTTAGTATAATCAATGTTTGTACCGAAAATCGCACAATTGTTTGTATCTTCCCTCCTTTCCCCTGATACAAATATTCATCTGCAGGTTCTCAAGGGAAAAAAAATCATGTGAATTGTATTTCAAACAATGTGATTTTAAGACACTGGCGCAGAAACGTTCCATAATAAATCAGCAGTCTGTGCTGATTGTGAACGGCTGCAGATGATGGGTGTCTAATGGGGCATTGTCTTTGCATGTATAACACAAGATATAAATATTTCCTGTAACTGGCACATGGTACTGTGGGTTTGGAGTGGAGTAGATGGGACAGGATACTGGTGATACTACTGAATCAAAGATAGCCGTCTCAGATTTGCAGCCTTCAGCGGTCATTGTTCACGTTTTGAATTACTTTTATTTTTTTGCTCTAGAAATGAAAACTGGGGATGCTGTAGAACTGTTGGATGCTGCCTTCCAGCTCATTCACTTTTCTATTATTCAGAGGAACAATTATAGTGAAGTCGATGCTTGCTCATGAACAAAATAAAGGATGATATGGGAATAAAGTTGTGTTGGAGTTTTGATTATTTCGCTTGATAATTATATGCACAGTTTGTCTATGTTTACCTTTACATTAGCACAATCTTGTTTTTATGAATTAATGTATTTGAATATTATATTTACTGTAATATGTGTATGCATGTGATTTAAAAATTTTTATATGTACATGTATACACAGCACATAAAGTATTTAAATGTGTATATGTATATAAATTCAAATAATCAATAGAGTAAGTTTAAAAGCTTCTACCATCCTCGTTTCTTTAAAGCTTGAAGGAAAATATATAGAAATATTTCTATATCCGAAACATTTCAATCATTCTCCTAGATCTTTCGTCATGTATTTCATCTTTAATGAGGCCTCTATGATGAAGGTGAATTACAGACCACAGTAATGTCGCCAGGACTATAGTGCCACCTAGTGCTTGAAAACGGAAAAATATTCATATCGAATTCATATCTATAAAACGTCTCAGTGGTTCAGAGAAGATATAGAAGCCAGCTAATGTCATACTAAAATGATTAGAATGATAGTGTGGAATTAGGAGTTTTTTTATAAGATTTATAAACATTTGCATATAATGATTTTCCAAAGATCACAATCCAGTCTGTAATAGAATTGGCAGAGATTAAACCTGTTTTTGATCTTTTTCAACCAAATGCATTGCAAAAAAAAAAAAAGTTGTAATGAGAGAAAAGACAAAACACTGACAACTTTTAAGATGTTGATCACCAAATATATTCAAATACAAAGTATTTACAAATATCACACTGTTTAAAAAAAGTTATGACAAACCAAATTAAAATGCATAGTAATTACAGTCTGTTTTACTATCAAATACTAGTACCAAAAGGCTTATTGGCAACAGCTTGATGATAAGTTTAATAAATTACACTACAACCAGAGGGTTAAAAAAGAATCAGGACTTTTTTTTGACAATCTTACTTCTCTGTATTCAGAAAATAAGAACTATTCTAAAATGAGCTTTTATAAATGTTTGAGACATTTCACTGAAAATGTAAACACTTTTCTTCCACTGTACCCAAATCAAAAAATACAATCAAACATAAAATGTATAGGATGTATACAATACTGTCTGATGAATCCAAATGTACATACTTTAGGTTGAGTGGCCACATGATGTCATCTGACAGTTCTGTTCCTAAATGTACAAATTGCAACCATTGTTTAAAAAAATTACTGTAAATACTGTAAAATGCAAGCCACACTCACAATAAATGTCAATCCAAGTAAACCTTTATGTCGGGGTCTTCCCAACTCCAGAACTGGCCAATGCCATTATCTTATCTTCAGATCCTAAAAAGGTAAGATACTTTTGATTATTGAAGAGGTATTTATTAAGCAAAATATGCTTCAATAGTCATAATTAGCTGCTTCTCATCTTACCCAGGCTCGCAGTCACCTTCTCAAAGTGGCTCAGAGTGGCACTAGCATTTGCAGCAAGAAACGCTTCATCCTCTGTTGTCAGCTGTGCATTCAAACAATTTACAGATATCAGAAATGGTTTAACATGTGAGTCTTGAAATAGATGCGAGAGTATTTGTGTCCGTAATGGCCCTCTCACCTTCTCGCCAAGTTTTCTCAGAGCCGTGAGGATCTCCACTTTCTGCTGAGTGTACACATCTCGAGGGAGCTTTCCAACCATCATATCACGGTCCATCTGAATTCATACAGTATCATATGAACATATTGAAGTCTTTGCATATATATTTGCATATTTGAAAATGTTAACATGTGCTTGTCACCTCAGCCAGTCTTGTCCTCAGTTGCCCTGGCTGCTTTTTAGCAAACAGCCGAATGACTTCTGGCGTCTTGAATGCCTGACTGATGGCAGCTTGGATCGCCTGATAAATATTTGCAGTCATAAATGATCTCTCAGCATGCATAAATAATTATACCAGTAGACATCAGTCTAGATGTCTTTTTACAGAAAAAAACTATACCTTTAAATTCTGTACACACACATATATATATATATATATGTGACCCTGGACCACAAAACCAGTCATAAGTAGCACGGTTATATTTGTAGCAATAGACAACAATACATTGTATGGGTCAAAATTATCGATTTTTCTTTTATGCCAAAAATCATTAGGATATTAAGTAAAGATCATGTTCCATGAAGATATTTCGTAAACTTCCTACCGTAAATATATCAAAACTTAATTTTTGATTAGTAACATGCATTGCTAACAACTTTAAAGGCAATTTTCTCATTATTTAGATTTTTTTGCACCCTCATATTCCAGATTTTCAAATAGTTGCATCTCGGCCAAATATTGTCCTATCCTAACAAACCATACATCAATGGAAAGCTTATTTATTCAGCTTTCAGATGATGTACACATTTGAATAAAAAAAATGGACCCTTATGACTGGTTTTGTGGTCTAGGGTCACATATGAACTTTAATAAAATAAAATCTAAATTGTTACCAGTTGCATTCCCCCCAGTTCATCAACTAGTGTCATATTCCCAGACATCAACTTCTTTAATGACTCATTGAACTCGCTCAACTGTTCTAGTGTCTCTTTTTTGGTTTCTTCATATTCCTCCTCTTCAAGTTCTTCTCTGCAATTGAAAAAATAATCAAATTTGTGCATGTAACTGAATGTGTGTTACAGAGAACTGGTGGGATGCCATTACCTGCACTCCTCTAAATCCTGAAGCTGTTGCATTAACCGGTCCAGCTGTTCTTCCATGTTTTGTCTCAGTTTGCTTGTTTCTGATGGCCCTCTAGAAGCCATTCTTTATCTTTTGAAA